TTTTTCTTGATTTTTTTTCAAAATTAAGTGACGACTTAAAATTCAAAATTCTTAAAAAAATTATTTTCCGCGTTAAAACATCACCTATACTAATTTAGTGAGATTTTACTATACATTCTCGATTGATTTGTCACATTACATAGCAAATAGTCTAAACTCTTGTAGGAGAATGTGACTCTTAATTAAAAAAAAATCAAGGGAAGTGTTCAAAACACTCCTAAAATTGATGAGAATTTAGGGGTGTATTTACTCATCATGCATGATCAGACGTGCATTTGAGTTTAATTAGTAAAGTAAAGGAATATTTTTAAGGTTGTCAATAATTCAGGGATAAACTGATAACTCACACCAAGTTTATGGTGTTTTCAGTACCTCTCTCTTTTTCTTACAACGGAAAAGGGTGTAAAATACTCTTGAGGAATTGGAAATGGTACAAAACTATCCTTCATCCACCTATTAGCTCGAAAATGCTCTTCTTATCCACCTATTGGCTTCAAATACCCTTGTCATCCACCTTTGGTTTCAAAATTGACCATTTATTTAATGGTTTTAAATTTAAACTATTTAAATATATTTTTAATTACTTGACGCTCAACTAATGATTATAATTTAATTTATTAATATTAATTATAAATCACCCACTGCCCACTCATTAATAATTAAGCTCCACCCAATTAATAAATCAATTCAAATATTAAAATCGCCCTTAGCACAACTAAAACACGACGAAATTACATATTCCTAAAAATGACATCCAAAATAATCTAAGTCTGAATCGAAGCCCCAATTAAATATAGGTTGAACCGCTTATTTAGGAGGATATGTTCAATATGATTCTCTTTCAAGCTTGAATTAGAAATTTATGATTAAAGGTAAAGAAATAGTACATCCCCAATTAATTCATGCACTTTTTTAATACAATTTTATAAATATTTAGGATTTCTTTTAAATATTAAAACTTTAATGTATTTTTTTAAAAAAAATATCTATTAATTAACATCACATAATTGAGACGAAGGAATAATTAAGATCAACATAGTCGAATTTTAAGTCTATCGATAATTTTTATTTAGACACTTGAATTGTAATATGTTTTGATTGAGGACTTGAATGTATGATAAATGTACTTTTATAGACATTTTCGCCTCAGTAGTTTTTCTGTTGTTGCATTAGTAACGGGCCAACTTATTAATTGGGAGGAGTTTAATTAGTAATGGGTGGGTAGTGAATTGATTTATAGATTAAATTAATAAGTTAAATTATAATAAATAGTTGAGCGTCACGTATTTTAAAAGATATTTAAATAGTTTAAATTTAAAATCGTTAAGTAAGTGGTCAATTTTGAACTCAAAAGTGGATGACAAGGGTATTTTGGAGTCAATAGGTGGGTGGAAGGGTATTTATAAGTCAATAGGTGGATGAAAGATAGTCTTCTATCATTTATAATACTTCAAGGTATTTTAGATCCTTTTCCGTTCTTATAAAAAAAAGTCTAACCTCAATATAATGTGATTCAAAATAAAATTCACAAGGAAAAAAGATAGAAGTTCTAATTTTATCCAACAGAGGATAAAAAAAAACATATTACTATTGTTAATGGCTTGAATATACTAAAATTTATAATAAGAAATTTTTAAATACTAATTAACATAATATACACATGCAAACTACCTACTCTGAACTAGTATATATAAACAGAGAACTGATCTCAACAATTTTCTATATGCATAAACGTTACCAAATTTTTCATTACAAGTTTTATTAATATTGTAGATGCATATACTATAGTTTGAGGACACTGAATAAACATATACAATTTTATATTTTATATAAAAGGGTCTCTATGTAGTAATGAACTTAGATTTGAAAGATTTTTGTTGTTATTTTGGTGACAATTTGGGCTAGTGATTTTGTTAGCCACAAAAGAAACATACACAAGCAAGTTGTTGGCAAGCTCCACCTAGAGCCCCTTCTTGACTTCTACATTGGATTGAACAATTATCACTCTTGAAACACCAACCTCTCCATGTGCCACTATACCTCATGCAACTCATATCATCACCCTTCACAAGTTGCATTTGCATCTCTAACAAAGAGAAAAATATAATTAAAGAAATCAAATTGATGAATTAAATAAGATTTTTCCAATAGATTATTATTTTAATCCCCACTCTGGTACTTAATATCTGAGTAATTCCTTCAAGTCAAATTAAAGGGACTTTATTCGAAGATTTATATTTCAAAAAAATATTTCTTGAAGTTCTTTTTGTTTTCATTATTACAAAAATAATTTTTTATTTTTACTTTTCACTTTTAACATATCAAGAAATTTATTTTTCTATTTTACCCCTCAAAATTAACTATTCATTTTCCAAATTATTTTCAAGACCTAAAATTATTAATTGATTAATTCAGTATTGTGATAAAATACTTATATTAATCATATTTTCTTAAGAGAAGTGCAAAATTCAAAGAGAACAAGTAAAGATGAACGAGTATAATGGTTGATAACAAAATAATATTGCTTTTTTTTTTTAAAAATGATATGAAAGGAAAAATAAAACATGGATAAACAAACCTAATGATACAAAGATGAATAACAAGCACAAAAGGAGGAGAGGAACTTGTGATCCAACCATCTCTTCTTGCTCTAACTTCTATTAATTGATGATGCTCTTCATATTTTTATAGTGGAAAAACATATAGTATGATGTTAAATAAATTAGGGAATGAAGAGGCACTGTCCATTTAATGATACTTCCAAGAATATTAATATTGAAGTTCCCTTCATAATTTTCAATTTGTATAGTACTTAGACATTTTTGTTCTTTTCGTTTGTCCATGGTACAAAATGGTCGGAAGGTACACAATTGATTTCTCTATTAAGTGTGTATTTGGTACGAACGAAAATGTTTTCCATGAAAAATATTTTTTTAGAAAACAAGTTTTAACTTATTTTATTATGTTTAATTGGTAGATGAAAAATATTTTTCAAAAAATATCTTTTATATTTGATTTGCGACAAAAAAATACTCTTAGAAAAATATTTTCTCATCCAAAAATTCAAATACCTATATCTAGCCAAAGCCATGCTTGACTATTCAAATTTGTTGAAAAATACTAAAAATTAGTAGATCCAATATTTTACATATTAAACGGAAAAAAATTATTTGCAGTCATTTAGCAAATAACTAAGCCATAAATTTTAAATTAAGCTGTCACATGTTTCCTAGTTTGGAAATAACAATCATATACCCTTAAAACTATAAAATGGAAATTACAATCATATACCCTTAAGACTATAAAACAAGAAACTAACCTAATTAATTAACATCTAAAAAAAATTTCCTCCATTAAAACACTCATAAAGTTTGAACTCAAATTTAATTACGAATTATTTTAGCCTCAATTATCTTGATGATTATATTTTGTACATATAAATTTTTAACAATGTTGAGAATTTCATAATCGCCTGACAGTCTCATAAGTGTGTCATTTAACTTAAAAAAATATATAAAATTATGATAAAAAAATTAAAATAATAAAACCTTAATTTATTTAAAATATATTTATGAAATTTCAATAATATTTTAAAAAATACTTGTGTCTCATCCCAATAATCTATGAATGGATAGTAAGGAAAAAATGGACAAAAACATAAAGGTGAACGTAACATAAATGGGCATTAATTAAGAAAAAGCTTTAAAATATGGACAAGAACACAAATCTAAACAAAAACCAATTGAATTTTGTTGACTTTTTCTTTTCATATTAACTTTAAAATCAAATAATATATCAACAAATATTTTTCCTATTTCAATTAAAAAATTATTAAGAAATAAAAATATTCTTTACTTTATAAAAAAATTATAGTCATTTTTAAATAAAAATTAATGACGGGGTTATTATAACCTTACAAATATGAACTATAAATTATCAGCTTAAAAGTATACGGGCTAATTATATTTTATTGATAAAAAGAGATTAAGAAAGAAAAAAAATATATCACCTTCCACTTTATTATATAAGTTAAAAAAAACAAAAAAAAGTAATTTTCTTTTAAAAATATATATATATTTTATTAAAAAATAATGTGTTTTTTTAGAAAGAAATAATATGTTTATTAGAAAAAGGATATTTTTTATCCAAAAAGAAAAGGAAAAATGTGGAGAATGGCAAATTAAGAAAGGTAATTAAATTAAATAAAGGGCAAATTTTATATATAGCAAAGAAAAAATTGACAATTGTAGGCTATAGCAAAGTATTCAAAATTACGTTCCGTAACAAATTAAAAATTTGCTACGGGTGACTTTTTGTGTATAAACAGTTAAGTTATATCTTCCTTTTATACCATTCAATTTTTAAAAAAAATATAGGCGGTAGATAAATAAGGAAAAGATCATATAATTCACGCAAACTCAGTTTAATTTCACTCTCTTCTTCTCCTTCACTCATAATAGCTTCATTATAGACAATTCAAAAAATTGATCAAGCTATTGAAGTAGATAAATTATACACTTATACACACAATTGTATAATAAGGCAGTAAATTAGGCAGTATAAGATATGAATATAAAGCAGATAATAAGATATTATACATTTATACAAGAACAATCGTATAAGTACAGAAATAGATACAAGAATTTATTATACATTTATACAAATAGTATTGTATAAGGCACGAATCAACAAAAACACAAAAACGTATACTAATATAGATAACATTTACACAACTACAATTGTATAAGCACATAAACATATACAAGAATTTATTATACATTTTATACAAACAGTATTATATAAGGCATGAATCAACAAAAACACAAAAAATATATACTAATATAGATTATACATTTATACAATTACAATTGTATAAGACATAAATCAACCAAAAACAAAACATATAATATAAAATCTAAACATATACATGAACAAAGATTATACAAATACCTTATGATGCTCGATTGACCCAGAACCAACAGCTTCATTTTTCAGCTTTATTTTTCCTTTTCTTACTTGACCCAGTAACAACATCGACATGATTTTTTACACCTCCATCAACAAATCTAATTGGGTCATCATTGAATTTGGATCTAATCTCTTGAACGGTAGTAGATTTACACAATGAACCTGAAATCTCTCCAAATTTCTGAGTTAGACAATGAAAATGATGGGTGTTCAACATCAATTTCAACATGCAATGGTATACCTCTTGTGAATCTTCTCAATGGAGATTGGGCATCCATTGATTGAAACCAAAATTCTGAAGGAATTAACAAGTGGAGTGAAAAGGTAGTTTTAAGAAATTCAAAAAAAATGAACAAAAAATTGATAATGTAAGATGAGTTTTAGGTGGTACCTTGAAATTTTTGAAATAGTTTGAAAAAACACAATGACGTGCGTGATAGATAAAGCTGGTAGTTTGAAATTGCAATTATGGAGAAAATTGTGAAAAAATTGAAGGATGAAGAAGAAATTGTATAAAAAGCGCACAAAGAGGGAAAAAGAGGATTTTATTTTGGGGATATGATGCTCAAAACTCATAATGTTGACCAAAATAAGCCATATAAGAAATGCCAACTCAAAATGGGCAAAATCATACAAAATGGTGTGACCTGGTATAACAAACTTACAGAGAGTTTGTCCTTTAAAGAAAATAACTAAAAGGGGATTTATTTGATTTAATTACCTTTCTTAGTTTGCCATTCTCCACAATTTCCCTTAAATAAACCCCCTTTCATTTATTCCCTTTAAAGGGCAAATTCTCCGTAAGCTTGCTATACCAAGTCCCACCGTTTTGTATAAAAAACTTTTCCCAAAACAAAACTCTCTTCTTTTCTCTTTCCGCGCTTTTTATACATTTTTTTCTTCTTCCTTCATTTTCTCCACAATTGCAATTTCATACACGCACGTCATTGCGGTTTTTCAAAAATTTTAAGGTACCGCCTAAAACTCATCTCACATTGTCAATTTTTGTTCATTTTTTTTGTAATTCTCAAAACTACTTTTTCACTTCACTTGTTAATCCCTTCAGAATTTTGGTTCAATCAATGGATGTCGATTCTCCATCAAAGAGATTCACAAGAGGTATACCATTGCATGTTGAAAATAATGTTGAACACCCATCGTTTTCATTGGGTCTAACTCAGAAATTTGGGGAGATTTCAGATTCATTGTCTAGATTACTACCATGCAAGAGATTAGATCCATATTTCATAATGACCCAAGTAAATTTGTTGATGGAGGTGTGAAGAATCCTGTTGATGTTGTTACTGGGTCAAGTAAGAAAAGGAAACATAAAATTGATGTTTATACCGTTCATAATGATAAAAATGAAGTTGTTGCATCTGGGTCAATCGAGCATCATAAGGTATTTGTATAATCATTGTTCATGTATATGTTTAGATTTTATATTATATGTTTTTTTTTGTGTTGATTCATGCCTTATACAATTGTGATTGTATAAATGTATAATCTATATTAGCATATGTTTTTGTGTTTATATTGATTCATGCCTTTTACAATTCTGTTTGTATAAATGTATAATAAATTCTTGTATCTGTTTCTGTGCTTATACAATTGTTCTTGTATAAATGTATAACATTTTAATATCTGCTCTCTATTCATATCTTATACTGTCTAATTTATTGCCTCATTATACAATTGTGTGTATAAGTGTATAATTTATCTATATTTGTGTCTTAATTTTAATATCATTTTTAGTAAAATTGTATATGCATTTTTTTCAAGCTGTTAAGTTTTTAGATCAAAGAGAACCAACACGAATTTCGCACATGCAGTGTTACACAAATATCGAAGTACTGAATGTTTTAGCTTCAAAGCTTACTGAATCACAGTACAGACACCAGAAAGGCCAGTCAGGATTCATAAGGATTTCGATAGTAGTGAAATGATCACAATTGATTAGAACCATAGTACTAAATTTCTGTATTTTTGAATATGCAAATGACATAACAACCTTTAATATTGTGAACTTCTATGTTTTTATATTGTAATAGACTCGTTTGATCAATTAAGTCTTTCACTTCTTTATTTTTGTTAACACTTAAATACTTATACAAACTACATTATACAATTTATATTTATACATTAACTTTATAAACTTATGTGTATATTTTACTTTATGTATTTTTTTGTATACAAAATAAGGATTATACATTTTTCAATAAAAAATAAATCTACCAATTGCTTAAATGTAGAAATATATGAGTACTCTTTATATTTTGAGTATATAGATATAACATTATTAGGATTATACAACTGTTCATAAATTTTAAATATACAAACAAGCTGATACAATTTATATTTATACACTAACAGTATAAATCTAAGATTACATTTATGTTGGATATATACATATACATTTCTAGGCTTATAAGATAGTTTATAATGTATACATATACATTCAACTTAAACAACAACATATAGTTACACATTAAATGTATAAATCTCGACAGTTTATACAATTGTTAATTCATTATGAGTTGTATAAGTATACAGTTAAGTATCTGTAAAATTTATACAAATTATAAAGTATAAATATATATTCAGCTTAAACAACAACTTATACAATTATGTATTTCCAAGCTTATGAACTGTAAAACTTATACAATTGTATATAAATGTTCAATTGAACTTATACGTAAAGTACTGTATATGATTTACACTATAGACACAAACTATAATTTATAATAATAGCATGAACACAAAATAAAGAACAATAATTAGCACAATTAATAAGACATAAAAGCTTTATTCCATATTCAACATACTAACTCATACAGTTTAAACACATAACTACTTCAAAATAAAATTCAATTGCATATCAAATCAAATTTTACAATCCAATATAATCGTAAAAGCTTATTAAACTTCTTGGGGTCTATGTCTACATGAACGCCTACTATGACCTGCAAATTCACATGTGTTACACATATGCTTCCCTTTTAGTCCAAGCAATTCACGTTTAGTTTATGAACGTGATTTATTTTTAGGCCTTCCTGGAGGTCTTTCGAATTTGGAGGTCAGACTTCATCATACATTATGGATTCAGGTATATTACCAATTCTGATAAGGAAGGCAATGGATAAATTGGTATCTCATAAATCTTCAAAACCGCTTTTGATTTATACAAATATCCATCGGCTACTAGATTTTTCCACTTTAGTACAACCCAAGCATGTTCACAAGGAATTTCTTTATAATGAAACTTCCCATAGCTGCATGTTTTATTCTTTAAACAGACCATAAAACTCCTACCATCATCAGTCATATTGTATATATATTTAGTTGACGGCACAACCTGTTTCACACAAATAGATTAATGTATATGTATAAGTCTATACAATTGTGTGTGTGTGTGTGTGTATATATATATATATATATATATATATATATATGTATGTATGTATGTATATATATACAATATTTGTGTGCATAACTAATTAATTAATAATATATATACATAAAACATATCCCCATTGGTGTGCTCATTGCTTCATATTCGATTAGTGAATTCTGAGCTTTCAATCAACGAAGTAAATGTGCAGGCTGCCTCGTGCTTGTTGTCATGATTCCATCTCCCAAACATCAGTCTGAACTCTTCTAGAAAATTAAATATTGGTAATTCCCTTGCAGACACTAATGCAACATTTATAATCTCTCCAATATTAGATGTCATAGCCTATCCCCGATGAGTTTCTACATGACACCTTGACCACTTATCATATCCAGCTAGCTCCAAATAGTCTTTAACACATACATCAATTTTTTCTATAGTATCCATCAATTTTTTCTATAGTATCCATCAGCATATCAAAGTCAACTTTGTTGCAAGTCTTTGCCATTGTATAAAACACATTACTTAGTTCCCTGGAGGCTTCCTATATTTCTTCTCTATATTATCCCACAAGTGCCACATACAAGCATAATGTAACACATTTCTAAACACTTAAGTCAATGCCTTTATAATACTTTCATTTTTATCTGAAACTACTCACATATTAATCCTTTCACCATAAGTCTCCCTTAGTTGTTAGAAAAGTCAAGACCAAGCTGCATCATTTTTCGAATCCAGTGAAAAAATGTGTCCTACATTTTAATTTTAGATACACCTTGACATTTCGATAAAAAAATTATATTCAAAAATCAATGAATCATACCTGCTCCGTCCGTTGTACTTGCAGCAACAAATGCTTCATTATACGGTCCTCTTAGATGACTTCCATCCACAACCATTACAGGCCTGCAACGTTCAAAGCCTTGTATAAAACTATTCAATGCAACAAAAACATACAAGAACTCATTTTTATTTGTTTTCTTTAGAGCCTGGATATGTAATATTCATCATATACAAATATGCTGGAAGTTTATTGTAAGATGCAGCTACAGCGCCCCTCAATAAAACTAGAGTCTTTTTTTTTAGCCTTCCAAGCCAACGAGTAATTTACATCAACTCCCAAATATATCTTTACATCACTGCGAATACCAAAAGGTGTATATTTTCTCTTGTGATCAACAAGTTTGGGTTTAATGACCCCTCCAATCAGCATGCTTGTGGTCTGTTTTTGTGAATACACTTTATCCTTCAAAGGACAAGTATGATATGTATTAAATGCTCTTATTCTAAACATACCAGACTTGTTGACATTAGATGCTTTCATTAACCATTCACATTCATCAAAAATACACTCCAGCGTATCAGCAAAAACAACACAACACATCAATATACAAATAATTAAAACAACTTATACAATTACATATTTGTATGTATAAAGCAGGTACCTGATTGCGTTTGACCTCACTGTTCTATATTGAAATCTTTTTTTAATTGAATATTTTTTCATCAATGATTTCAATGTGGCTTTGGTCTTATATACTTGGTCTACCTCTACGTACTTATTACAAGGATCTGAAATGACTCCATCACAGCTCTCCGACCCCAAAATACAAAGTGACTTCACCGACTCACCAATAGTCAGCTACCTATTATCAAATTCATCATTTTCTTTATTGCTAATAGATGTAACTATACCACTCTCCTGATTTGAACCTCCACATAGTTCATTGGTACGAATTATACTGTCTAGTTTGCTTATACACAGTGAATACTTGTTGAACTCATTTCCAACCTTTTTAAGCATAATATAAACTCTAACACCCATGTCGTTGTGAATCAACAAGAGTGTCTTGCTTTCTTCAATCTCGTACTCAATTTTGAGTTTATTCACATTCGTATCAATTTCTAGTTGCATTGCAATGACATTATATAACTTATTGTACGATGAACTTTCTTTAAAAATCATCCCCTAAATTGTATAATAAACGTATCGATTGTCATTGTCCCATCTACCAGAATGCATAATCAAATTAACCAATGAAGCCATTTTCAGAATTTGTGTGGAAAAAATTAAATTATATACATCTACATTTGTAAGCTAAAGAAATGCAGCAACAAATATAACATGTACTTGTACATATTATAGCAACTTCAGTTTTTAACTTATACACATTTTTAAAAATACAAAAATTCTCTGTATACACAAAATTATAGCTTAATAGAAGTATACAATTCAACAGATATAAATATAACATATAAGTTCACACACACACACACACACACAATAGTATGGTTGCAGCGAATCTCAAATCAGTAAATCAAAATTAACAAGTTTTATCACATATTTTTCTACATTTCATATTAACTAATCAAATCAATTAAGGACAAATATTACATCTCAATATACACTCGACTGATTTGATGACAGTCAAAAACGAAATCTGAATTTAAACACCATTG